CGTGCAAAGCAACGAAAGAACAGGAACGCAATGATAATAACAGAAAATGTGTCTCTCTCGCATCTTGCACAAGCGCGCTGAATCCGAAGCAATTGCGTTGCGTCACCGCGCCGAGCTCTCGTTTGAGGGTGCATTCCGCAACATTTAACGGCAGCGATTCAAGAGCGATGCTTGAATTGCCGCAGAGAATTTTCTGTATATCTAGCAGCTTAGAAGACACAGCTGCCGCTCCATATGTTCTGCGTGCTAGTTTTTTCAATTAGCTTATTTGCATGTGGCTAATCACATGACGCGCGAAGACTGACCTGGCGTGGCCTTCCACTTGAATAATATGTCGCTATTACGGCATGTGTATTTTTCGTTCCCCCTTTTTTCTCTGACACTATCTCTCCTTTACTTCTCTGTCTCCCCTTCCCTCTTGCCCAGTGAAGAGTAGCAAACCAGATATTTGATTTCCGGTTAACCTTCCTGCCTTTCTTCATACCACGTCCCTCTCTTTTCCGCAGTTCATTGCATAACGAAAGGACGCAGAGTCTAGTGAAAGAATAGGGGAAGCAATTTGGTGGACATCAAGGCGCACTCATCGAGACACCGCAGATTACTCTGGACAGAGGAAGAGTTGCCAATGCCTAAGATTTTCCCGAGTCCAAATGCTACGCACCTCTTTAACGCCTTTACGATGTAAATGAGAAGCATGAACATCACTAAAGTTGGGTGCAACAAAGCTCGGGGTATTATGATTGCTACTACTAATAATAAGATCTGGGGCCTTATTAAAGGACTGAACAAAGACAGCTTCCCTTTGGTAGTATAAACAATGTAAACATGTAAACTGCACCCTAGTGACATATATGGATGGAGGAAGGAACTTTAATTATTCAGGTTCAATATCCCGCGCTAGTGATCAAGCGCAAAAGGGGCCGCTATACTGCATTGGGACCGAAGGCCTGATTGGAATAATTGTCCCCTTTCGTGGCGATACGTTGAATCGTTTAATCATTGGAGCCATTGTGATATGCACGTCAAAAATAAACATAACTTCTATTCCAGTTTTCTACATTATTGTTCATTCACTGAATGTTTCAATCTATTGTCTGCGACCCCTGCCCCACCCCCCTCTTTCCCGGTTTTACATACGGTCCAGCTTGTCAGCTTCACGCAAGTTGGCTCAATGTCTAAGAAATATGGCTGACCCTTGAACTAGTTTCGTTCTAGCGCCCCATGAACAAGTGACTCACATGCCAGTTCTTCTGCAGTATGAGAGTCTGCCGTAAGTTCATTGAAGCTTCGATGCAGGAGCGCTTACGCCTCCTCGCTTCAGTGCCGTATATTCTCGATCGATCCACTTTGCGGGCTTCACTTTTATCGCGCATTGACCGACTCAGGTAGCGAAGTTGAGAGGACGATATGTTTTCGCGGTCTTGCACCACGCCTTATCTCACGAGCACTGGCCGTTTTACGAGTGCTCAAGTGCGATTCTAGACATTCAAGAAAACCATCAAACGGAATGATAAGTGAGAAAATATAGCGAAGACATTCGAAGAAGCGAGCGATGGATAACTCGGTCTCCGCGCCTCTTCCCGACAAGTTACAATCACACAAAAACACGAAAGCGTATTTGCAGTGGTTCTTTTAATTTTTCCTTTTTTTCTATATCGCGAAAATTCAAGTGGTTAGCTCTGTCACTGTGGTGCACTCATTGGATTCTTCTCAAAATACTTCTTCGTTGTCGCAACGCTTAGTCAGTATCAGGAAACAATCACGCTATTTGCACTGACAATAACAATCAACACTAAACAGATCTCTCTTTCAATTATCTGTCATTTACCCCTCACCCAGTCGCCTTCGATGCGTCATGTTGTGAGGCAGTTATCACGAGAAGTTAGTGCCTCAACAAATACTCTTTCAAGCGTGAAATGTACATTCACTTTGTCTGCGCGGGCATTTTCAACAAAGCCGCTGAGTCGTGCGATGTGACAAAGCGGATATCAGCGGGAGAGGGGCCAATGATCGATAACTTCGGCAGAAATATTTTGTTGATTACGATTGTGAATGGGAACAGATCGACTCCGCCACGGCACTCAGTAAGCGTTGTGACAAAGCTCCGAGCGACTCAACCCATTGGCTCTCATGACATACATCTTCGGGCAAAATTATCAGCTTTGTGGGAAAACCACTGACCTTCATAGAGATTGTGAAAAACGTGCTTGCCAGCCGCCAGAAAGTGTTTACATGTTTATGTTTAAGCAGTGTTGATTCGCGCCTCAAATACACCTTTCATCGTCATACAACGTCATCACCGGTGCGGTGGAGGGGGCATGTGACATTATACTCACGACTTGAGCTGATGAGTGGTAGGCGTGACACACACGCCACAAATTCGTCGAATTGCTGTTTCGCCAGAAACTGGCCACGCTAACATAAAAAAAAGGAAGGCAACAAGAAAAGGTATAGGAGCTTAAAGTGCGTAGACAAAAAAAAAAAAAAAAACAAGCGCGTCCCGTTAAGAAGCAACTATTCATGAGTCTTCCTGTGAGGATCCACGAGCATGGCAGTTCTTGTATTTTGTTTTAATTCTATAAATGCGACCACAGCGGGCAGGGGAATACGCACAAGTTGCCAAGAGCAGCGAAACTGCCAATAAATAGAAACAGTAGTATTCCGCTGAATGAAATCGACGGCCACAAAATCAAAAAGGGAAGTGAACGCACACTTGTTATCGCAGCGAAAGAGTAGCGCGCGAGGTCATCCTGATAAACCACGACCTTAGTCCCGCGTATGCCACGCTTCCCGACGCAGCTGGATATCTCAAAATAGCCCTTCCGTAGAATAGAATGGTTACCCGTGATTTTGGAATACGTTGGTTAAGACAGTCCTTTTGATGACAAATGAGCAAATGAGTTAGAAAGAAACAAGTGCCTTTCACTCATATTTTTTTATTACTCGATACGAATGCCATTATAACAAATATTAGCACAACCGAACTTTCTTTTTACTTTTCATGCAATTTATTTTCGCATAGGTACGAGTGGGATGGAGCTTGAAAAATCATGAGCTAGAAGCAGAATCGCATTACGAAGCAAGCCATGGTAGAGGGATTCCAGATTATTTTAACATTGAACATTGAAAAAAAAAACGTGATGCTTTTGAATGTGCATTTAGAGTTCATGTCTCGTTTTTTGTGTGTTTGTTGTATGTGTTTCACTTCTAAACGTGGCCAGAGAACGATCCTATACGTGCGTGACCTCAGGCGCACAACGGCCAAAGCAGTAAGCTGACAAGGCTGAGAAAATTGAAAAAATAAACGAGGAAGAAATATTATTAACTGGAGGTGTCTGTGGAAGTGTACAAACGTTTTTCTTGATTTCATTATTACGCCACGCAAGCGCTAATTACGATGTGAAAACACTTCCAGTTACAGAGCTTCAAAACGGGGTTTTCAGGCTTTGACTTGGTCGGGTTTGCGCATCAGCACCCCGTATAGGTGTCTTAGCATAAGCTCTGTCCTCCATGAAACCAAAAAGAAGCTATTCTCGTTTGCACATGACGCACGCGCAATAGTGACAATGCAATGCGCGTCCGTACGCTTGATAACTTTTTCAAAGCTGTTTTATATGATACCAACTTAGCTTCCCTCCCACTCTTACCACGGAATGATATTTTTTTCTTCTAAAACTACTACCTTACATTACGTAAAAACCTGGCGACCAATGCCATTGCGCCATCATTCCTGAGCAAAACTCATACAGCCAGCCAGCACTCAGAAGAAACTCGGTCTTGCTGTACGTAATCGCATTGCAAATGAATATCGGCAAGTCCCTTTTCTTTCGGGCACGAAAGGTTGCGTAATACGCTTCGCTGCGGTATAATGGAAGGTTCTGAATACATGGGAAGTGAAGCGAATACGATGTTTTTTTTTTTTTGCTTTTTTCCGTGCTCAGTTACATAGACGGAGGACGAAGCGATTCGCATTTTCCCGGATCTCTGACGAAGAGTGAACGCATAGATGCGTCGCTTTTTGAGTATTCCCTTTCTCAACTAATGTGGCGCATCGCGTTGAAGCCATGTAGCGCGCACCGCCCATAGCGAAAATGAAAAATCGCGCGGCCAGTTAACATTTACTTTTTTTTCTTTATTAGCATGGAATTGTTACATTACACTGGGAAAGTGTCATCTCAATTCGCGACAAGGATGTTCGGTAGGCCATTCGTTTAAGTGGTGAATCGTTAAGTGGAGCCGGCTCGTCCAGCGTTTCCTGGTGTGTGCGTACTGAATAGACTTAAACTGCCAGATAACACTTTTGCGCCTTGGTATTCGAGCTACGAAGGACGTGTACAACGTTCGCGTCACACGCCACTTCCTTCGCTTGCTTCAATCACTTCCTTTCTTACTTTTGCTTGAAGACCCTGAAGTAATTGCTGTTTGTTGTTCGTAAATGTGGACACAGGTGTAGGCTACACGGGTTGTCCAACTACGAAGTAAATAAGGCCTAATAGGACAAGCGTCTACACACTGTGCACACAAATTCACATGAGTGACTAGATGGAAAAAAGAAAAAAATAGTCGTTATAGACAAAAAAGCTGACCACAAGAGCAGCCCTGCATGCAAACACACTCTGAGAGTTTGAACGTTCATGGGTGTGCGCGAAATAATAAAAAAAAGGACACCAATAAACGCGCACAGCGTGAACGTACCATAAGTGCCAAAAGTACCAAAAATGAAAATTCATTACAAGCAGGCTCCCATATAATCAGCACATCACATTATAATGCTGCTTAAAGAGCGATTCCGCTGGCTAAAGAGATTACGGTATAGCGAATGATCTATCCACGGGACACTCGTCCTGGCAATGTATGAAGGAAAGGGCCACATAAGCTGAGGCCAGGAATAGAATTACTGATCACTGAGGAATGACGGTTCTTCAACGAAATTGGCATAGAAAAGCGACCCGCCTTTTTTTTTTTTTGCTCGCGATATAAATCGAGGGCATAAAACTCACGTTTCTGAGAGCCGCCTCCTGCGTCGGGCTCAGGTCTCCGAGGTGACCGCTCATCTCCCTTTTCCGTCACGCTCTGTACACCAACGAAGCCCGTCAAGTGTGTCAGTCAGTCCGTACTCCAGGCAATTGGTACGAAGATGCCGGTAACACAAATCACCCGCGCACAAACGATAATATCGACGCTCGTCTCGAAGCAGCGGCAGAAGTAACCTCTGGTTAATAGGTCCTGGTCCCTACCGCCAGTGCCGTTCTCAAAAGCCGGTCAGACGCGTTGTCCGTAACTACAGAAGCCACGCCGAACAATACCGCCCGCTGGTGTTGCTCCGTTCCGTCGACGGGGTCGTCTGCTCGTCGACCGAGGCGGGGAGACGTGTTCGCGTTTTTGTTTGCGTCACAGTGGCCAGACGCTCCGCTCCGCTTCCGCTGTCCTTGACGAGACACGGCCCTTCCTTCGCCGCGTTGGCCAAAGCGGAAAGCCAGCCGATTGCGCATCGTGTGTTACTACTTCTCCGCATTGCGCAAAGCGGCCGTGAGCTTTGAGGGATAACGTTGCCGTAGGAGATAAACGTATCTTTTGCAAAACGTTCACGTACCTTATCCGAATTGCAAGCTTTTTTTCCCCCTTTCTTTACGCAGCTGTATAGTAAACGTGACTGATTTGAGGTTCTCAATTGCCTCAAAGGCAACGATACTCATTGGTTGGGGGGAGGTGGCTGAAATGAAGGGTGGTGAAGAGGAAGCTAAATTTAACTGCTCTGGGTGTTACTTCCATGACATCTACGGCACATTGATGTACACTACGGCACACTGATGCGTAAGGGCAGAAGGAAAGTAAGCCTTCATGTTTTTGCGTTGTGTCTCGAAGTCTACTCTATTGTCATTGACTGATATTTGCGGATAGGCGTAATAGCCTTGTTTCAGCGACAACAGCTTTAACAAGATTGATAAACGAAGATTAACGATGGTCAGGTGATGCTCTGACATGTGACATGTTCAAATGTCGATCAAGCGTCAGGACTGCCTTGATAGTGATTTGCAGAATGAAATCTCTGTCATGCATAGCATTTAGTGTGGTTGTGATTTTTCAATTGATTTTCGAAGTAAGTAATGCTACCACAAATGATCTAACTGGCTGACTAATATGGCAATGGGTTGGTTGGCGAGCAGTGATAGCGATACTCATGGTGCTTACGCAGCAGTCGAGCCCCGTATGCAGAGACCTGTGTCCTACGCTGGACTATGGAAGTAGGGAAGCTCTACCATCTCTTGATGCTCTGTCGCTTCCCACCCTCACAAATACTGCAGTATGGTACTCCTGTCAAATAGAGTCGTTTATATGTTCACTCATGCAACACCAGCTCTTATTTCCTTGTCACACTGCGTTGGTGACCACGCGCGTGCGAGTGCCCAGCCACCCTGCCTACAAATATACACCAGTTCACTTGCAGACGAACATGTTGCACAGGAGTATCCCTAATTTTCGCATATTTTGTCTTATGGAGGAGCAAAGAGCATTCTTCGGGGTAACTGCGCAGTTCCTCGGGAAAGCTTTTTTAGAGTGTATGCAACCAGCTATGACCATTTCTGGTTGAATTTACCGGTTGATATTGAAGACACCTCACCCTGACAGTGTCTCTAACTAACGAGAACTTAACTAACCAATTGGCTTGCTTACGACGAGCCCTCATTAGCACGGGCTTATGTCGGCTAGGCTAAGCGGTGCAAAAATCGGATGAAATATAAATATAGCGCTTGAGCGCTATTTATGCGGTTGTGACACAAAAGCAAAACGAATCTTTATTGAAGTTGTTGCAGCTTTTTTAGGTGTTTAGAAAAAGAACTTTAATATCGAAGATGGAACAATAGGCAATCATGATACCACTTCATCTTGCTTGCGGAAAAATGGGCAGATTCCACGTACAGAGGGAATCGATGATATGCGAAACATGAATGAGAAATGTTGACTGTGTCACTTTAAAATCAGCACAACGTCACGAGGTGGAGGTAAATGATGCGTACATGACTTCCATGTCATGATTATCATGTTTGGATGTATCCTTTACCTATGTCATTCGTTCGCGTCACGTAATACCGAGTTTGGTACATGTGAAGCTAGCGAAACGGCCGCGAGCGCATCATGAGCGTAGCATGTAGTCATCTTGTTACATGACACGCATCTCATGTTTATCATGTTTGCACCAGTATCATACCTTCGTCACTCATTCACGTCCTGTATTACGAAATTTGGTATAGGTGGCGCTAGAAAAACGGCGGCCAGCGCATCATGAGCGTGGCATGTGGTCATGTTGTTACATGACACGCATGTCATGATTTTCATGTTAGGGTATGTCACTTGTGCTTGCGATGCAATCATGTCATACAATATCAGTTTCACAACATGCCATGTGAACGAAACCACCGCAAGAGCTGCAGAACAATGAAATGTAAATCATGACATCCATATCATGATTTTTTATGACTAGACAATTGTGTTCTTCATAGAGTCATGTTATGCCATACCATGTTTGGTATCGATACCATTATCGAAATGGCCAGGAGAGCTAAAAGTCATATGCAGATAGATAGATAGATAGATAGATAGATAGATAGATAGATAGATAGATAGATAGACAGACAGACAGACAGACAGATAGATAGATAGATAGATAGATAGATAGATAGATAGATAGATAGATAGATAGATAGATAGATAGATAGATAGATAGATACTCGCAAAGTCGCCGAAGTTCGCCAAGAAATACTTCGCATTTAATACGGTATCCCGTTGTGTGTATAGAAGACCACACACGGTGATCACTGACAATGCAAATAGATTGTTCAAACTAAAAGACTGGCAGGGTTCAACAAAGTTTATCGAGCTGTAGCGCGGTTTTCATTGATCTAGGAAAGTGCGAGATAACTGATTCGCAGTGATTCAACGTTATCGCATATCCTAGTTCAGTCAAGGATGACTACAGGCTTCGTCAGCACGTCGCGATAAGGGAGCGAATGTTTCGCATAACAAGATAATACACAGACGCGCTCGACGCGTCTATGTGTTAATTTGCAGTGCTAAAGGACGGATGAACGAATGCTACACCACCCGTTTATTTAGGGGTGGTGACATGTGCACCACCCACCTCGAAAAAATGAAGTACTTCTTCAAACTCGGCTTAATGTCTTGACTTCCTGGAATAAGCCGATTTTACCCTATAATTGATTGATATGTGGGGTTTAACGTCCCAAAACCACCATATGATTATGACAGATGCCGTAGTGGAGGGCTCCGGAAATTTCGACCACCTGGGGTTCTTTAACGTGCGCCCAAATCTGAGCACACGGGCCTACAACATTGCCGCCTCCATCGGAAATGCAGCCGCCGCAGCCGGGATTTGATCCTGCGACCTGCGGGTCAGCAGCCGAGTACCTTAGCCACTAGACCACCGCGGCGGGGCGATTTTACCCTATAGATAAAAAGCACTAATTCTGAGCCCAGCTCCATGCCCCTGGAGGCAGAATAACCTTAATTATTTCACTATTTTTGTCTTCTCTCTTTGCTTTTCTCCCAGCAATACTCTCACTGTTTTTTGCTTACCTCTATAACGGACAGGTTTACCTTTCCATTGTTGTTCCCAAAAGCCAAGTTTTCATGTATGCTCGTGCCCAAACGTACGCCTCGACGGACAACTCTACGTGCAATCAAAGAAACATGTTCCATCGTGGACTTCACGAAAAAAATTCTCCGTCACATTTTTATTTTAAGATAGCAACCCGGCCGATGGGATGGCGTACTGCTCACCCCACAGTAGAGTACGCATCTAAGTATAAATTATACGCATATCATTATAGACACAACAGCTATTTAACTGTCACTGTTTCTTTGCGGTGACCGAGGATGGTGCCCCATCTGAACGTCGTACAAGGTGTGCCGCAAGGCAGTGTTTTAAGTGCAACGTTATCAAACTGAGGTTGCGTTCATATTTCGGACAGCGTCGTAGGTACTCTACATCGAGGGTTTCAGGCCCACATCCGTGACCGGACCACAGCCACGAAATTTAGTCTCAGAGAGGGCTCGGACACTGGCAATGTTGGCAGGCGGGAGGGAGGGTTGGGGGTAGATTGAACTAAAGCCTCTTGATTAGATTAAACAAAATGCGTCCGCCAACGCTGTGATTTGAAAGAAGCTCTTTCGAATATCTCATATACGGGTTATTTTTTGATGGATTTGGCCTTAAAGTTTGAGCAACGCATCTATAGTGATATCCACAGTGACTAACCACCGTATCCAGAACGCCCTTTCATTCAATGCTCTACAATCACTTTAGAAAGGCGGTGGGAGCACCATCTCTAGACGGAACGAGTCACTACGTCCAAGCGATAATTCGAGTGATTATTAGGGATGACTTAGGGTCGAGCAATGTCCGCCGTCGTCTCCCGATGACAATGATTCTGATGACGATGAAGAACAAATGCGTTCCAGGCCAAACATTCTCCTTCTGCCATCACGGCACAGCCCATGCAATGTACCCACTAAACCTCATGACGATGACGATAACACAGTTGACGATGATGATCACGGACAACGACTGACTTGTGCATTAGATGACGTCTCGATATGCTCTACGATGCATTTCGTATGAATGGCAACAACCAACAACCACACAGGCAACGTGCGCCGACCTCGTCCTTGCCAACCTCAGGCTATATCTGATACCACAACGCAGCAATAATGAAGTCAAAAACGAAATTCTCAACTCAATGCAACATACAATTTATGACCAACAAACATTGCATATAACTGTACACCCTTCTGTCACTCATTCACGTGCGCGAGTGGTCAATAGGAAGCCGTCACTTCAGTCGGTGCCGTCGCGTAGTCTGACCCAAAACTTTTGGGGCAGGTTTGGAGCTTCCGCTAAATTCGAGAAATAGTAGGGAGTTGTCGAATAGGGGTCCCAAAAGTTTGGGTCCCGAAATCTCTTTGCGTAAGCACGATTTGGGTCAAGCAGGAGCGAAGAGTTTTCGAATAGGGTCTGCGGCGCCTAAGACACTCTCCCAATTCTTGGTTATGTCGCTTCAGTAGGCGCCATCACGCTTGTTTGACGCAAAGCTTTTGGGTCACGCTTTGGGGCTCCAGCTAAATTCGAGAAATAGCGTCCCCAACCCGAAGCCCAAACGCAGTTTGGGTTTTGCGCATGCGCGGTGGCCTTGAGGCTATTTCTTTGGGGCCCCATAAGTTCGAAAACTCGTGTCCCCAAACCAAAACCCAAACGCGTTTCGGGTTCTGAGCACGCGCAGTAGGCTTAACGCCATTTCTTTGGGACTGCAAAATTTGGGGCCCCTATTCGAAAACTCTCTAATGTGGCGGGAGA